TTTAGGTTTAGGTTTAGGTTTAGGTTTAGGTTTAGGTTTAGGTTTAGGTTTAGGTTTAGGTTTAGGTTTAGGTTTAGGTTTAGGTTTAGGTTTAGGTTTAGGTTAGGTTAGGTTAGGTTAGGTTAGGTTAGGTTTTTTTTTTTTTTTTTTTTTTTTTTTTTAAAAACTTTGTTTTCTGTCGCTGTGTTTTAATGCGACAACCTTCTAGTCTGTAAATTTGATATCTGTGTATTTATAACAATGGTTTTTTTTTTTTTTTTTTTTTTTTTTTTTTTTTTTTTTTTCCAATTTAGTGTATATAAAATTGTAAAACTATGTAATATGAAATTGTAGACCATGTATATAACTGTGTATAAACCTTTATCGTCTTAGTCAACTATTCTTGCTCCATTCTCTCTTGCCACGACCCTCAGCAGAGACTTTGCGAAGTTAAGGAATATATCCCTGGTTTCTTTATTCTCAAATATATATTCCATATTGCTTTCAGACAGTGTTGCATCCAATTTGAACTCGCAGTCAAACCGTTTTTTAGCGAATCTTTGGCAGTCGAAAAGTATATGCTGTATGGTTTGCGGGGTTTCACTGTCACATTGGCAGCTGGGGCTATCTATCAGTTTAAACCTGTGAAGATATGATCGGTTTCCTCCATGTCCGGTGAGAAGGTGAGTTATTGTATTATCTATTTCTATTTCCTTTACTATCTTATATGCTTTTCGAATATCTGGTAAGAATATTTTTGTTACGGCTGCTGTGTTGGATTCTATATATAATTTTTGGCACTTATCTAGTGATTTTTCCCTTAATACCTTTTTGGCGTACGTTAGAGGAAACCGATCATATATGGGCCTTGTCTTCTTTTTCAGAGCCGCTGTCTTGGCGAGGTCGTCCGCGCGCTCATTGCCAATTATTCCTGTATGAGCTTTCACCCAATAGAAGCATACTTTTCCACCGCATTGTTGGAGATTCTGAATTTTTTGCCGGATCTTCATGGTGAGGGGGGTTGAGTGGACATGGATCTGCAATACTCTCTAAAGCTGATCTCGAGTCACTCAAGATGTTTGCAGTATGGAATCTCGACTTATTGCACATTGTCTCGATGGCTTTCAGTATGGCTGCTAGTTCCGCCTGGAAGACGGAGCAAAAATCTTCCAGGCGGAAGCTGGTTGAGTAGACTTCTTTACCATCGATCCAACATGTGACAGAACCGCCGACTTTACCCTCTATCTTGCTGCCATCAGTATAGAACCTCGGCCAGTTATTATCTATAACCTCATCTAGTTCGGTTTGACTGCTTATGATTTTAAAAGGAACTGTATTTCTATTGGTTGGATGTGGTAGTAAGGAGACCGGTGTGCGACTTTCAAATTCTCTGCCAGGCAGCGCTCCCAAGGGTTCTCCCCTCTTAATTAAGTACAACTCAGCCTGTTCGATCGCTTTAATTTTGAGGGGAAGAATCCCCGCAAGCACCACGCTGGCAGAGAACGAGGTAGTTCTATGTCCTTTACATATTTTGATTGCGAAGAGCCTGGTGACTCTGTCAAGAATTTTCCCAACATTGTGATTCGAGGTGGTATGGGCCCAGCAACTGGCGGCATAGAGGATGGTCGGTTCTACAACTGATTGGTAAATTAACTTGAGGACACCGGGATTCAGGCCCCATTGAGCCCTGGCCATCTTAGACACTGATTTATATATGTTTAAAGCCTTTGCAGAGACAGCGCGAATGTGAGAATTGAAGTTAAGGTTCCGGTCTATGGTTAAACCGAGAACCTTAACTTCATCCCGCAGTTCAATAGATGTTCCGTCCATCACGAGCCTAGGAGTATGATACTTGAGTTTCTTGGTGAAGAGAACTGCTTGCGTTTTGTGTGGGGCAAATTTGAGCTTGAGCTTGTTGCCCCATTGAAGTATCTTTGAAAGCGCTTGGTTCAAGTTTCTCTCCACCTCCTCTCCAGTGCTACCCCGGGCTATGAGGAGTATGTCATCTGCAAAGGCTTGTATGTGTACTCCGTCATATTGGGAGGGTTCAAGTGCCTGATTCAATTGAACGTTCCACAGAATCGGTCCACAGACCGATCCTTGGATACAGCCCCTATCAGTTTTCCTGTTGACTCTTGCACCAGAGTAATTAATAGTTATTTTCCTTCCCGACAGATACGAGGTTATCAGTTGTAGTAAGTCCTTGTCGATTCCCATGGTATCCAGCTGTGTAATAATAGTGGGCCACCAAGCACTGTCAAAGGCTCCTTGGATGTCGAGGGAGACAATGACTGCCAGTTGTTTAGTTTTTATGGCATTTTTAACTATGCTCAGTGCGTCGTAAAGTGCATCCTCTGTACTTCTTTGTGGAAGGAAGCCGTACTGGTTGGGGTGTAGAGAGCCCCGACCAGTAAGGTCCCACTGTATTCTCTTCACCATCATTTTCTCTAGGGTCTTCCCTAATAGTGAAAGAAGGCCTATGGGTCGATATGACTTGGGAATACTGTAGTCTTCCTTGCCAGGTTTAGGTATAACCTTTATATGGGCCTCCTTCCATACTTCAGGGAAGTAACTCAGGAGAAGGCACCGGTTATAGATCGCTAGCAATACTTCAGGACATGTCTTAAAGGCTTTTTGGCAGATGTCTGCAGTGAATGCGTCCGAACCTGGGGCTTTTTAGAGTTCGCATGCTGTAATGCTGAGCGTAACTCCTGTTCAGTAAAAAGATCAATTTGCCTGTCGATGGGTAGATTCTTTGATGAGATTTCTATTGATTTTTGCCTGATTTGAGTATGTTCGTGATTGTCTTTTGTAGGATCATCTTCTGGAAAAAAGGTGTTGGCTAGGAGGGCTGCAGACTCATCCGCCGAGAGTGTGGTACCGTTATTGTCCGTTAGCAGTTTTTCGCGAACATCTTTGCTGGAGTGTTTTATGATTCTGTAGGATCTTTGCCAGATCGTTTCTCTTTCTTCACCCGTACAGAATTCTTTCCAACTTTTTGTAATCGCTTGCTGTATCTCCTTCTTATATTCTTCTTTTTTCCTTAGGTATTCTTGTACTACAAAGCTTCTAGCATTGGCGTTTGCCTTCTTTATTCTATTTCTGCTTCTCTTAAGTTCTGCTTTTAGGTTAGAGAGGTCTGAAGTCCACCACTTTGCAGTATTTATAGATTTTTTACTATGTAGCTTGGGAATCGAGTCGTTGCAAGCACCGGTTAGAGCGTCATGAAATTTCCGTATTAAATTTTCAAGATCAGTAGTGTTATTTGTGTTCGATATTGTTTCAGTGGTGATGTTCTGTTGTTGGAGGTTATTAGTAAGTGCTTCTTCAAATTTGCTCCAGTCGGCTTTTGCAGTAAAGAATACCCGTGTAGACGAACCAGAGTGTGTATCAAGATTTGTAGTGGCTTTAAGATTAAAGGTAATCGGGATGTGATCCGACAACGAGCAGAGGCTTGGGTTTATTCGCCAGTCTGTAATTGTGTTGAGGATCTGTGACGAGCAGGCCGTAATATCAATGATGCTTTGGCATGGTTGTCCTTGTCGATACACCAGAAATGTCGGTTGCGACCCTTGATTGAGGACTTCCATCCCAAGCTCTGCAAACGTGTCCATTATTTTGCTGCCTCGTTCGTCCTCGGTATCACATCCCCACCACGGACTTTTGGCGTTGGCGTCACCCGCAATGAGGAGGTTGGCAGTACCAGTCGAGTCAACAATTTTACGAAGAGTGTTCATTGTTTGTTCAATGTTGTGCGTCTTGTCTAGGTAAACATTAACAAAAGTATACGTCACGTTACCAACGATGATTTTTAATCCAACCATGTCCTCTGTGGTCCAGTCTTGACTTTCTATTATGCGTATACTTGGATTTAGTATGACTATGGCTGCCCTTACCGGGTGGCTTCTGTTATGTAGCTTTTGTATGACTCGACTGTTACTACCAACGCTTAAGTACCCTTTGGAGCCAACGTAAGGCTCTTGAAGCAGCAAGACTGAGTAACCTTTCTGACTGGCTTCTCTCAGGCATTCTTGTGTGGCGGAATGTCCCCTCCCAAGGTTAATTTGTGCTATCTTGATTTGCTCCTGTGCATTTTGGGCGTTTGTTGCCCTGACTGTATCGACGCCCTTAGCAGTATAGGACAGCGGCCCTTGCTATTCCATCCCATTTCTGCCAGTCAGGGCAGTCTTGGCTGTATGCTGGATGAGGCTCAAGGTCTCTCTTTGCCTTTTTGCAGTTACAGCACTGAGGGGTCAAGTTCCTATTTGGACACACTCTGGTATCATGCTCTTGGGCACAATGCCCACATCTGATCTGCTCATTGCATTCAGCCGCCCTGTGATTATATCCCATGCATTTGTAGCACTGGGTAAGAGGCGACTGATCGACTGCAGGCACCAGTTGCAGGCCGATGTGAAGCTTTTGTCCTTGAACTGCTTTCCATATCGGAGGCGATACTTCCAGAATCACGTTCTTGATTTCCTGTGTTCTACCTTTGGTCCTACGTAGTGTCCTGACCTGCGAATTGGGAGGGAGGGAGCCAAGCAGATGTCGATTTTGGCTGGTGACCGCTTTCTCTATCTGTTCATCTGTGAGGCTATTTACTACTCCGACAAGCCTAATTTGTGGGAGTCTATCCCTTGTGCTTCTAGCCGAGATCTGTGAGCATTTTTGGCGTATCGCCTCCTGAAGGGCTCTGCGTTCTTCTTGGGACCCGCATGCCATAACAACCTTTTGGTTCCTGATCTTGGTTACTCTGTTTACGCCAATACCTAAATCGATGACGTTAACGTTCTGTTTTACCTGATTTATAACATCATCAGACGTTTTCCTGGGATCGGCCGATTCAATTAAGACCGCGTAATTTGGTTTTCTTAAGGCTTCAGCATAACTGCTGGGACGACGCGGTTTATTTTTGTTGATCTGATTTCCTGATTTGGGTTCTATGATAGGTGCTAGAGTTGCAGTTGACGGATCATCCTGCTTCTTCGCATTTGGTCCGTTCACAACTACACTGGTCGCCTTAGCGTTTTCTTGTATTTTAGTCTGGACTTCTTTAATTTGCTCCTTTATTTCATTGAGAGCAACTTCGGTGTCAAGAGCAGTGCCTTGTTCGTGCATTATTGCCATGACTTCCTCGTGTCTAGCCTCTTTCATATCTAGGATGGCAGTTTTTGCTGTGGAGATATCGGCTTTTATGGCTTCTATCTTATCATCGAGAATCCTATCCAATTGTTCTTTAGTGACGTGCGTTGCGGAACAGACTTCTTCCCGCTTAGTCAGCTCCGCCCTTAGATTGCGAATCTCCTGCATTATTGGGTCAAGAGCTGTAGCTGTGAGTGAGTTTAGATCTGTCTGTCCGTCACTATAGATTTTATCCGATTTGTTTCTCTCAATGAGGGCCTTAATTTCACTGAGCTCGCTGCGTACAGACGTGAGCTCCTGTTTATGTGCAGCGGACTCTGTCTCGATCTCCTTTATGCGGCGGGCCATGGAGTTACCGGCTATCCAAGCAATTTGATTTGCCGAGTCGATGGCTCTGTTTCTCATATCCGCAGTGACAGACTTGGCCTGTCTTAGGATTCTGACAATGCCCAATGCCAGAGTTTGCACGCGTTCCGAGCAGTCAGTTCCTTCTACTACAACATTCGACTGAGTACTTTGTGAGAGAGGTAACGAGATAGCTGCTGAACTATCATCAAAAACACTGTCGTGGCGGCTGAGGCTGGCGGAGTTTGAGTCTGTTATTGGTCTCCACGTTGGGAGAAAATCAGTGGATGAGGTACCTGAAGAAGGGGGGGAAGCCTGAGGGGCCGCAGAATCAGCCTTGCGAGCCTCGGCTGACTCCGACGGCAAGTTGACGGGTCGCCTGACCCACCCACAAATCGGGATGTCGAGGAGGATCCGAAGAGGAATGGCCCGCCTAGACAGCCGGCCAAAGCCACTGAGACGGGTGCAGACGCTGCTCCCTTACCGTCGACAAGCAATATGTCGGAGGGGTGGTCGACGGTGGTTCGTCGACGGGGCAAGCGGCCCAAGGCAACAAAGCCGCAGGCAGATCCCGCCAGACAGACGGCACCTAAAGAGGCGGCGCCCGCCAAACAACTGGCCGGCAAGAAAAAGAAGGGAAGGCGGAGGCGATTCCGTCAACCTAAGTCACATGCAGTAGTCCTGACCCTGCTGCCTGAGGCTGAGGAGAGAGGATTTACCTACAAGGACGTGTTCAGGAGGCAACCACAAAACTGTCGCCTCAAGAAATGGGCATCTCCGGGATCAGGTATAGGCTGGGCGTCACACAGGCGCGCATCTTGGAAGTGCCAGGCGCCGACTCAGGCGATAAGGCAGATCTGTTGGCGACCAGGCTGACAGAAATTCTGCCGGAGGGAATAGTCAAGATCTCGAGGCCGATGAAGACGGCGGAACTGCGCATCGGAGATCTTGACGACTCGGTCGTTCCAGCGGATGTGGTCGCCGCGGTTGCGCGGGAAGGGGGTTGTGGCGAGGCCTCTGTCAGTCCGGGGGAGATCCGTCGCAGTCCTTCGGGTGCCGGCACTATCTGGGTGCGCTGCCCAGTAGGTGCAGCCAGAACACTGGCCAAGGCGGGCCGGATTAAAATTGGCTGGGTGATGGCGCGGGTTCAACCTCTGGATCCGCGTCCCTTGCGGTGCTACCGCTGCCTGCTCTTAGGGCACGTAGCACAGCGGTGCACCGCGAGAGTCGATACCGGCGGAGGCGTCCTATGCTTCCGCTGTGGGCAGGCGGGCCACAAGTCCGCAAATTGTGAGGCGCCATCTCCAAGATGCGGCGTATGCGCCGCGGCCGGCAGAAAGGCGGACCATAGGGTGGGTGGCACGGCCAAGTGCAGCCAACCGCGGAAGGCTCGAGCTTCGGCACGAGATGGCCGCGGGGGCGGTGAGTCGATGGACACATAAAGTTCGTCGGCTCTGACGTGGATCTCAGGCGGCGGATGGCGGGAATCATCCGGCGCCCAGAAGAGACAGGAGATCCGAGAGTCGGAGCGCTGCGTATTCCCGGCGCTCCACTCGAGAGGCCCGATGGGGCAGCGCCGCTGGTGGTGTGGATGATTGCGGAAGCGCACCCAGGCCACCGGTGTTAAGGCGCGGAGAGGAATACCGGGGGGTTTTTAGTGGGTAAGAATCCCACAGTACCCATCGTCATCCCGCTGGCGGTGGGTCTCTTTCTGAAGATTTTCCCCTCGTTAAAAAAAAAAAAAAAAAAAAAAAAAAGGTTAGGTTAGGTTAGGTTAGGTTAGGTTAGGTTAGGTTAGGTTAGGTTAGGTTAGGTTAGGTTAGGTTAGGTTAGGTTAGGTTAGGTTAGGTTAGGTTGGGGTGCTGGGTCGGAAAACCTCCAAGAGTGCCCTGGCTCATTGTACGGTCACTTGTCCTGGTGCGGATACGTCCGGCGGGAACGGTGGCTGACAATGGCCGGGGCCTGGTGCATCCTGGGCAACGGCGGTAAGTGACTTCTCGCTATTTAGAGATCTCACTTACCGACGGCTAATATTCCGACAGAGGTGGTGTGCGGCGAGCCCAAGTTTGGGTTCGTTGTGTTTTCGTTGCGGGGGCGGGTTCTGTCCCGTGGCTCCTCGTAGTAGGAGTGGTCGGCGGGCCCGGCGGGTGCTTTGCTGCGCAGCCGGGCTGGCTTCTGTGCCACCGCTGAAAAACCGTAATCCCTCACGAAGGCGTGGTCATGTCTTACACCTGAGTGAGGGGACGGGGGCCTTGGCTTAACCGCCCGGGCCGCGAGGAGTAAACCTCTATAAAAATCCGTTTGTACCAAGTTCCGGTGCCCGGCGAGGGGCAGCTCATTCTGCGGATCGCGCCGTGGGGCGCAAATTCCTGTGTTCGACGTCGTGCTTCGTGGAATGGGTGGTCGGTAACGTCATATCGGCCGTTAGGGCACCAACCGCTGGGCACCTGCCGCACCCAGTGTGTATTAGGCCGCACATGGAAGCAGGGGGCGACCCCATGTGTGACTTCATCCCCCATACTCGTGGGAATCAAATGGAATCGTTAAACATAAAAAACTCTTTTGACGTATTGGAGTCCGAGAAGGACGGCGTGATGTCGGAGCCCGTGAAGGGCGGAGCGATGTTGGAGCCCGGGAAGGGCGGTGTGGTGACGGAGCCCGGGAAGGGCGGAGAGAAAGAGATGGTGAGATTGAAGGAGTGCGCGGTGGTGTTGACTCGAAGCCCGAGTGTTGCACTCAACAGAACCGCAAGCGAGGAGAGGATGGATGTTCTAGATTCATCGGATTCGGGTAGCTTGATGACTGTTGCGTCGCTACCCATGGAGGGGACCAAGTCCACTGAGGGGGAGTTGAGCTCCAAATTTTTCAGGGGCCGACTCCGGGCGGGGTCAAAAAGACGATGTTTACGGACGAGCTCGGATTCCGACTCTGGCTCGGAAGTAATGCAGGGGTCATCGCCTTCCTCCACGACGAAAGGAGCGCGCAGAGGACGTGGTCGGCCGCCAACAACCGGCCAATATGTCGGGCTCGCCAAAGCTCAGGAATACCTGAACAAGGTCAAGAGGGAAGAGCTTGAGCTGCGGGCTATGGAGGAAGTTTCGGACCTGGCACGCCGGGTTCTTCCGCGCAGAGGCGCGCAGGCAGCGTTGCCCGCTGCGGAAGAGGCGAAAACAACCCATGAGCTGTCCAAAGTGATTGATGACGCCATGGAAGTGGTCGCCCAAATTGCTGCCAGGTCTAAAAACCTGAAGGGTGGCTATGTTCGCGACCTAAAGAACGTGGTCGCAACAGTCAGGTCGGCGACTGTGAACATAGCCAAGTGTACCTCTTCTGAGGACAACATACAGCTGATCGAGGAGAATGCGCGGCTGCGTGCGGAGCTGAATGACGTCCGCAAGGAGCTCCAAGAAGTACGCGCCGAAGTGCGTTCTATAAGTGAGAGGCCGGCTGCGCTGCCCGTCAACTCCCCTCAATTACTGGGGAACCAGGACGTCCTAGACCAGCTGATGCTGATGATTAGGAATGCCATCGATGAAAAAATCGATGGCATCAGGGACCGGCTGCTACCGGAAAAGCGGCGTATCCCGCTTGCCGCGGACCTGAGGGCGGCACAAGCGGGAGCATCTGCGGCAACGCAGCCAATTGGTGGGTCGGTCCCTCAGCCTCCAACCGTGGCGGATGCCCCAAAGACGAAGAAGAAAAAGGCGAGGAAGGGAAGGGCAAGTGAGGTCGAGGACTTAGGGTCCCAGGCGCCAGACGCCGCTCCGCGAGCGCAGCCCCAGCCGGTGGTGGTGGTGGCGAACACTAACGAAGAGGGGTGGACCACCGTCGTCAAACGGGGAGCCAAGAAACGGCAAACACAGGCGGGCGCGCCAAAAAAGGCGACGCAGAGCGTGAAGAAGCCGGCGCCGTCCAAACTGCGTCCTCCTCGTTCGGCGGCGGTGGTTGTCGCCATAAACGAAGAGGCACAGAGAAATGGCGTTAACTACGCCCAGGTTTTGAGGGAAGCAAAGTCCCAAATAAGTCTTCCCTCCCTGGGCATTGAGTCTATTAGATGCAGAACCGCTGCAACCGGCGCCAGAGTCATCGAAATCTCTGGTGCCACGAGCGGGGATAAGGCTGACGCTCTTGCCTCAAAACTCCGGGAGGTGCTCCCCGAGAGTGCGGTCCAGGTGTCCCGACCCGAAAAAACGGCCGAGATGCGCATTTCGGGCTTGGACGACTCGGTGACCCGGGAGGAGCTCACCGCTGCTGTCGCTCGGGCCGGTGAATGCCGAGAGGAGGGCATTAAAGTCGGCGAAATCCGTCGCAACGCTTCCGGCCTGGGCACTTGTTGGGTCCGCGGCCCGGTCATGGCCATCAAGAAGATAACTTCGGCGGGTAGAATCCTCGTGGGATGGGTCTCGGCGCGATGCGAGTTGCTGCAGCAAAGACCGCTGAGGTGCTATAAGTGTCTGCAAGGTGGACATGTGAGGGCACAGTGTCCGCAGGAAGAGGACCGCAGCGGCCTTTGCTATAGGTGCGGTAAAGA